AAAACTCAAATGCACCAAGTCCATGTTTTGATGTTTGGAAATATTGTGGGATCTTATTAATTAAAATATTAAATGATCATATTACACTGAAATGTTCCAGCAAAATGGAGAAAAAGAGAGGTAACATATTAACAAGAAAACATACAAATTTGTACATAACAAGCATTAAAGGGCAAAATAAAATGCTTATTATAGTAAGGAGTATAAGAAAATGACAAAGGATGACATTTTACAAATCGATGGGACTGACTGATTATTACAAGTCACTACAGTCACTTGCTGTCCTTGCAAATTTTCACGTCAATTTCAATGTCAGGAATGTGTATAAAATAAAGAATAAGAAAATGAGAAAATGAAAACAAGCTCAAAGGTTTCCATTTTACATGTGGAAACCCACTGTACTGTCCATACAGTTCTGTTTTTATGATCTAGCACAGCTAATATGACTGGTTGGTCAACTGTAAATTGCACAAAGTCAATTCGGTGACAAAAAGGTAGGGACAGTTATAGTAAATAAATAGGGAAGGAGTAAAACCAGTGCAGGGTGACTTGGCAGGAAGAGCTGGCGGGGGGGGGGGGGGGTTAGCAGGGAGGGAGGAACAACAAAAAGTTAAGAGGACAAAGGCTGAATATGCTATTCTGAACATACACTGTACACCCAAGAGCAGCTTCCTAATGCACAAAAGTGATTTATGAGATGTGGACCAATATTGTGAGGTCAAAACAGAGTTGAGCAGCGACACAACTGCTGGACATATCATATTTTATTTTTATGTTCATTTGGTGCCTGTTACATGCCTGCATTTCATTCAGTGCCTTCACAATTGAATTGTGCCGGGTTTCCTCTGCTCTGACTCGGGTGTCTCTTGGCTCTCTTCTCCTCGCAGCCTCTGTTGGTCACGCTGTCCAAACAGATCAAAGGTCACATGATAAGGAGAGGGCGAACACTGGGGCCCATTCAGCAGCCTGGACCAATAGTGTATAACACGTGGGCACTAAGAAACACGGAGCAAAAGACAGAAAGAAAGGGAAAAAGAAAGAGTTTTGGCCCCAGTGTGTGTCTTGACAAGCCCTTAGAGAGTTCTGGGAAAGTCTTTTCACAGAGGAGCTTTATAAAACATTGATTTGTTATGCTAATAGGGGAAATTGTATTGAATACAGTGAAATATATCATTATGATGGATTTAGCCTTACAGTTGGGATGAAAAGTACGTGTGCATGTTTGTCTGTTTGCATGTGAATTAATTTGTTTGCGCGTTTAAATGTACAGTTTGTTTCCCAGTGGCCTTTATCTCACAGGTAAACAGTAAGCGTATGTTGGTTAATCCTGTGGCTCCAACCCCTCCCTAAAGCCATCACAACATCAGATAACACAACTGATCTCTGAAACTCTGCAGAGGAGATGTTGACCCTACCACAGCACCTCCTGCCACAGGCAAACTGCAGCCACCAAACCAAAAGGCCGCGAGTGAAAGGGTTTGGTTTGGGTGGGAATTTAACGTTTTCCCTTCCTTACAAAAGGAAAAACTAATTTACACCCAGTTGCCAGTGTATTAGGTACACCTAGTTAAACAAATGCAGTCACAACTGTCAATGCAGTAGTTCCTCCCTTCATGAAGGTTATCATGTTCAGTATCAGTTTAAACTGTTTTATAGAGGTGTTGATGGCCTTTTTGGAGGATGTAGTTTGAGGTGTTTCTAATATTTTGTCCATAACATTTATATCAATGAGGACACAATTCTCACAATGACATTAGAATTGCAGCCGTAACCCAATAATGCATATCTATCCATCTTGTGTGTTGTGATTGTGAATGCATGTGGTCAGAAAATGGATCAGAGGTTTGATATATGAGCTTATTCTTCGTTAATAGATAAATGAGTGACTTAATATATATGCAAATTACAATATGTGCTTTCATTAAACCCGCCATCCATCCTTGGAGAAGTCTTAAAGTGACTTTTAAAACAAACTGCTACTAGATCCTGTAAACATCCATAAATTGTGCTAGGCTACGCTAATGTTATCATTTGTCATCAGACAGGTTACTCTGGTAATCAGGAATAATAGTAAACAATCTCACTCTCCTTTGTAGTCATGACTATATTACAAATTGCACTATTGTAATTAGTTAATCTCTTAAAGCTAAAACATAGATTAGACATTAAATGTCAACACCCAGTTTTATTGAATGCCCCAATGATGTGAATATTTAAAACTATGGCAGCGGTGACGAGGGGGGACAACCTGAGATTTGTGTGGCACTGGTTTCCCTTCTCCCACAAAAAAACACATCAACGCTGCTATTCAGGGCACGGCGGCCACTATTCCTGATTAGCTCCAGCATCTCATCAATAGGCCTGACTGTCTGCTCTGGCCTTAGGACAAATGGCTCTTTCTACTCAACTTCACTCCTTACTGCTTTAATGGCTGGAACGGCTCAGAGAAGAGTTAATTATTGCATAGCACATGGCTGGCATACAGCACCGTGGCTGCACCAGTTCAGGAAGCATGAATGTGTCACAAGACGCCCCGTAGTTTAACACATGTGATATGTGTGGGTATATGGAGCCACAGAATACTGTATGTTTGTATAGAGACAGAGACAGACATAAAGAAAGATGAGGAGAGAGTTTTCAGTTAATAGATTAGGTGGTTTTACCCAGTTATATGATTCATGCATGAGCTAATGCAAACAATAACACCTCAGTATGCACATGGTGGATAATCACTCACATGTGCTGACAATTCAAATATCAATCCATTCAACACCACTGCCCACATCCTAGCATATACTACCCAAAGACAGACACACCTCCCACATTAATACAAACTTCACACTGTCAGTATCAATATGTCTCTGTATGCAGTGTGAAATCCAGAACATGGCTTGTCCAGTTCTTTAAAGCTCTGAGCATCACCGTCTCATGGCTTGATTTTAATTGATTCAGAGTCAGGTTAAACTCAGCGACGCTTCAGAATATTAATTGGTAAATTATTTCTAATTCTATGTCTTTGATCATTATCCACATCAACCTGGTTTTTATTTACGTCCTTGTTCATGTGCAATTGTCCCCCTTATGCGCCTTTTGAGTTTAGCCTCTTTTTCTTAACAGTTTTTCTCTTTCTGAGCTGTACAGTTTGTCCTGATATTCTTGTATGTTTTTACTGTTCTTTTTGCCATTTGTCTACATGAAATAAACCTATAACACAGAAAGGATTCCTTTAATTAATGACAGTACGGGGAACAGATGTTTTTCAATGCCAGCATAATTGAAGAAAAGATTTCATGAGATAATTTATGAAACAAGTACTATAGATACAACCCTGACAACATTAACAAATTCACAGTTTGTGAGCCAACCTAAGCTTTAAAGTTACTAGTGTTAGTCGTTCTTGTTCAGGCAAATGCAAATGTCCATTCTGTTGTGTAGACACACACACACACACACACACACACAAACATCTTGAATTTGAAACTCCATGTGAAGAGATTAGATCAGTACACCTGCAGGACCACAGGGAGTAGCCATGACAGTCAGTGATCTCATCAAAAATACATCAAGGTGTTTCCCCTCTGGACATCTATATGCAATGAAATATTAACCATAGTATCAAGGATGCACCCGTAAACAACCATCAGCACCCTTTTCTTCAATTAAATCTATAGTCTTTTTATTGAAACCACCCATATATGAGCTGGGAGAACGACAAGCAAGAGCAGCCCAGCGTGTTGTCATGGGATCTCTTCTTTCTTGCCTTCACTTCCTCTATCTCTTACTCATTGTTTGGCCTCCAGCGTGTTGACTTGAGCTGCGTTGGCTCTTTCCTCAGGGCCCTCACTCTACTCTGCTGACGCACCCAACAGCCCAACCACCCATTTTTAAACAGGGGATTTAGAGGTTTTTTTAGCTTTCACTTTGAAAAGCCCTGAGCAGATATTGAAGAAATGTTGCATTTAATGCTGAATGTCTTCAATAAGTCAATGACCTCACCTCTTTATTGTTTTTTTCATATACATCAGTAAGTGTTTTTGTAGGCTCACACCACTCCCATGTGCTGCTGTAATTCAAAGTTTAACTTGTGATGTGAAACCTGTTTTTAATACCTATTGGGTAGGGAAGTAATATACCAGTTTCTTTCCTGCATCACTGAATTTAACTAAACCTGTTCTGAGTGTGTCATATAAAGCTGTGTCTCCAGTCCATGTTTCACAGCAGCAGAAACAGGCATGCACATGTCAGCCTCCATTTAAAGTCATGTTGCTGTTAGAGGGCATGATCCTCTTCAAAAGCAGAGTCTCATTGCATCTGTAAATGCTATTATCTGAGAGGTAAACAGATTGACAGCTGTAATGCCTGAGCTCTGCTCCTACTATTACTTTCCAGGAATACTGTGGTAGCTGGTTTGGTTTCACACAAGTTAAGTTGGTTAAGGTTAAGTGGTATCTAATCAATCAGAATTGGCACCCTCAAAAAACACATTAAATATGACATTATCTGCTGCCCTCTGGTGGATGTAAATATAAACTACAGCATGTAGGTGCTGCCATGCATTATCTAACATACAGAAGGTATGTGCTACAAAGCAGGAATGGGCAATTATCACTGTGGAAGAATCCCTAAATAAAATATAGGCCCAGGGAAAACCTTTTACCTCTTTTTAATAATGAGAACATTTCCACTGGTCTACATTAAACTTCACTACACCTACAAAACTGCTCTCTACTCTTACCTGTTTGAAGGAAGGACATTTTTAGCAATTAATTATTTATATTTCTTTCTTATTTAGTTTCCTACCCCTTTCTGTCCTTTTTATGGTGTATCTATTTGTTCATATTCTTCTAATGGTTGAATTAAAGCCTAATTAATTCATTAATATTTAAAAACTCACCACCTCGTCTTAACAGCTCAATATAATAACATCTTCAACAAGGAAAACATGTTTTTTCATAATTAATGAAATACCAGAAGCAAGAATAAGACAGTTTCTTTAAGTTAATAGATCTTTATTTGATTTCATAGCTTATGCGTTCTCCTTCAAAAGGCATGAAGATAGAAAAGGAGACAGAAAATGGATCATGGCTATAAATATACAAAGAGAGGCAAAATCTTTACAATCAGTAACATTACATAAAGGCTTAAGCTAGCCATATGGACATGGGGCACAGCACTTTACTTAAATAACATTCACTAAAAGCCCGCTGGACACAGGCTACATGGTAGTTAACGCTTAACTTCATGCAACTGCCCAACATTCAAGCTGTGCCTCCCCTTCATTCATAAACAATAGAAAAGTTTGATTTATGTGCATTATCTTATCTCCCCCTTTGGCAATGCTAAATATACAAAACGCAGCCACAGTGTTTCCCCAGAATTGTGTGCATTGTTTCTCCCAAGGTAACTGCAAATACGGAAACCCAAAAATCCAGACAGCGTAACCCATGTCTATATAGTCAGTTGCCACTGTTAAATACAAGACGAGTACCATGCCACAGATCAAAGAAATCTGACTGGTCCATTAAAAAGAGAAGCACAGTAGTACAGTCAAGTACGAGATGACAGAATAGGCCACGTTGGTCAGAACTGAAACCGGTTTACTTCAGCTACTTCAAGTATCCAATTACATTTCAAACTCCATCTAAAATCAACATTAAGAACCCACATTCACAAACAAATTACTTAAAAATGGCACAAACTCTGATTAAGTATTCACTGAACGTGCAGATTACCAAGAGGTTTTTCTCGAAGTGCACAGAAGTCAAGATGCTAGTGCAATAGTATAATAATTAATAACAACATTGGTTTCAACATAAGATAATAAATAAGGGAATAGACAACAAATTTAAAGAACATGTGGTTTGAGAGGAAACAAGAAGCTAAAGCAAAACACAAAGAACAACATCCAACAATCAGCAGAACCAATGAACCACAATCTTCAATGGTGAACAGAAATACTTGAACATTAACAAAAGGCACACACGCAAACTCACGCACGCACACACATCGTGTACCAGCCAATATATGCACATGCTTAGGCACAAACGTTTAGTATGGGATCTGATTTTGGTAATACTGGATCATGTCGTAGGTTCTACTCCTGTAAGACAAAAAAAGAGTGATTGGATTAGTGTGAATAATGCTTACTGGAAGCCAATATGAAAAAATATGTGAACTGTTTAGGTTTTGTACTGACCTGTTGCTGAGGAAGCAGTTCTGGATGACTTTAATGATGAAGGAAGCCGCATCTTTCTCACTCAAACCAGGGTTGAATCGCTGCCTATATGTGGTGGAAAAAGACTATGAGCGAAGACAGAAAATGATATTCAAACTACATATTCTCATTCACATGAAGACTCACGCCTCACTCACTTGAGCAATTTGATGGTCTGTCCTCTGAAGCAGGGGAGGCCAGTGTCCAGCATGAGTGTAACTAAGGACACCACTCCATCCATGTAGGGCCTGATTCACCAGAGGAACTTAATGTTACACGTCAGCCATCTTTATAGTGCAGGGAACACTAGCTTAATCACTTCTTCATACTCACCTGACAGCCAGGTATCCCCTCACACACATCTCCATGAACCATTTGAAGGGTGTCGCCTCCATCTTTCCACCCATGATCATCACCATCTCATCGGTTAGCTTGATGTCTGGCTCCCAGCCGAGGTTCCCGCCAGGAGAACTTTCAAACATGAAGCCGAAGTCTGGAAACACGAACACAGGGACACAAATACAATAGCTTAGGAGTTGTTATAGACTGCTCCAGTATCATGTTGCACTATGAAGATAGTGTTATACACTGTCAATACAATTACTCAAAAAAAGGCCTGACTTTTTTTTGTCCAAACTGCAATATTTGTTAAAGGCAAATATATGCCAAAATACCATTTTGAATTAGGTATTGAATTGGTATTGTACCAACTACAATAATCGCACAAGGAAACACACACAATACACACCGATGTGGATTAGGTGGCCCTGGCTGTCCAGCATGATGTTGCCGTTGTGTCTGTCTTTTATCTGCAGCAGGAAGAGCAGCAAGCTGTAAGCTGCCATACTGCGGATGAAGTTGTACCGTGCCTGAAAAGAGAAGTGTTGAAAGGACTATCAGATTAAACTGTTACAGTAAATACTGTGTGAGCACATTAGGAAATATGATACAGTTTTACAGGTGTATAAATGAGTGACTGATGACTGATCATGTAAAAGCCTGTACAAGGTTGCGAGATTTGGCATAAACTTACCTTCTGGAAAGCTAGCGTGGATTCATCTCCATACTGGTTCCTAAAATAGTCGTACATGCCGAAATCTGTTTGTCGGCCCAGCTGGTCCCGAGACTTGCAGTCCGGGATGCACTCGATCACTCCACACTGTGGTGGAACAGGAGGAATGAGAACAGGTTTGAGTACAGGGGAACGTTAGACTTGAGGTTCATCTTAGTGGAACATTTGTTTTGAACATCCAGTAGTTCCTATCAGGAAGTAATACAGAAGAACACAGTTTTATATTAACTTACTCCTGGGGCTGTGGCCACTACTCTGTAAGGAAACACGTAGAGATCCAGGCCCACCAACTGGAAGATGTTCTTAAACAAGCTGATGATCTGAAGAGCCAGCATGTCCTGTGGACACAAAGGACAAAATGGTAAAAAAAAACTAAAAAAAAAAGTAATTCAAGAAAAAATAATCAAGTCAAGTCAACGGAAGATTTCATGAAATGGATGGGAGATAGCAGTGAAGTAAGTGAAAGGAGAGGAGTGTGAGACCTGTCGGCAGTCGTCTCCCACTTTAAAGATGGCTGCCTGCCAGCAGATTCTCTTGGCCTCCTCTTCACTCTTTACCTCATCTACAGAATCTGAGCGGCATTGCAGACCTGAGGGGAAGATGTTATGACAAACGGTTTGTCTGTGCACATATTTGAGAAACACAATATCTACTTTAGGTTCATTTAACGTTAGCTGTACCTTCTTTTTCCAGCTCAATGACTCCACACCTCCTAACTTTGAACTTGGCCAGGTACGGCGCTTTGGCAGCACTAAGTAGACACAAAGGGATACAAAAGTGAAGCTGTCACATTTCTTTGTGAATTCTGGTTACGAGCATTACAGAAGATGGTTTTGAGGCCCACCTCTGCATGGGGGTCCCAGACTTGTAGTCTATGTCCAAAACTATGGCCTCTGGGTTACTGGGAAGATAACAGCCAGGTTGGACTTTGATCTGTGACATGGCTTCCAGGCAGGCCCTCTTCCTCTCCTCCCCTTTGGGAAAAGGTCTGATGAAGACAAACAAAAGCTTGAACACACAGTTTCCACACCTCTATGACTTTACTGATAATATTATGCATGGGTATCTTATTGAATGACTTCAGATCACAAGTGGACAGTCAGTCCCTGCTGTTATTCACAGAAGGGAGTCACTGGAGTGGAGAGCAATAGAGAGGGGAAGCCAGGGGACAGTAGAAGTTTCTCCCCTGGACAGTTGCAATTAGTGCAGTAATGAGGGCTGTGGGGAATTGTGTCTACCTCTAATGGGCTAACAAAACACTTTGTGTAAGAGCAAGCAGTAATGAGACCTGTCAGGAAACCTCTCATCAACTGCAGAGTGTACACACTGGTAGTCAGGGCACAGCCGTGTCTTCCAGACCGATGCATAATCAGAGAGACATTACAGCAAACAATAGCCAAATAAATGAACAACAAAGGGATTTAGAGAGTAGATCACTGGTGGTACAAGGCAGGAAGGGAGCAAAACATATTGGCTCAGGGGAAAACTTGTTATCACTTCATAAACACCTTGAGTATTACCTAGAGGGTTCTGTTTAACAGAAAAGTTGAAGTGTAGTATTACTTGAGGCCTTTGGCAAATATTAGCACAAAGGCTTCTCCTTTCTTTTATCGCCATGTCAGGTTATGAGTGCATTATCCTGCATCATTATTGAGATGCCATTTAATTGAGGACAATGGTAAAGAAACTCAGAGAGAAGAATGCAGGGTAGAATCTAGAGGGGTAGCAGAATGATATATTTTTGAGTTAAAATATTGTTTGAAGTCTCTATTGGCACCCTCTGGCCACCCCAATGAATATCCGCCCTGTAAGGATGAAGCTAAAACATTCAAGACTGAAAAAGAGAGATATGTTATGTAACTTTGGTAAAGGTGCAGCAGTAGTGTAAAGAATGTGCTACTGTAATTAATGGCCTACAACATGGTAAACGTGTAGTATGGAATAAAAATTGGGTTCATACTTGATAATGGCCGACACATTGGTGATCTTGTTGAAGAAGTCAAACTCTCTCTGGTAGAAGTCTTTGGCCGGGCCAGACAGAGAGCCTGTGATCTCCTCCACCATCTGCTCCAGCAGCTCACCTATGTCAGCTGCAGAGCAAGAGAAGATCCTTGTGTTTTACATTTTTATGTTCACGTTGTGTTGTTAATGTGTTTTGAAAGTCAAAAAGAGATAGTGAGGGTGAATATCTCACGGTCTTTCTGGTTTCCTTCCTCATCCAGAAATATGTTGGTCTTCATGTTCCAGATGAACTGGTGAGCCAGAAGCTGAGACTTCTGAGCGGCCCACAGGATGTACTCTCTCACATAACCCATCTAAAGCAGGTAGTAGTTAACAGGAAAGCTTAATAATCCAAAGTTAGATGGGCTTTCAATACATTTGCTGACTCAGAGAATCTGATATTTACCTTGTCGTAACGAAGCGCTTGGACAATTTGAGGGATGTAAAACAAAATGGCATCCTAGAAAGAGAAGAAAAAAAATATTTTACAAGCGAGAAAAAAAAAATAGAAATGCCTTGTAATTGTGTTACTGTATACATGTTAGTCCCCCACAAATAATGTGGTAAAGACTACATGATTAGGCTTATTAGTGTAAAATATAGACCTCTGAAAGGCCAACTATTTGCAAATCAGTTTTGATAGTGTTTAATACAGAATGCTACTTATAGAAAATAATAGTAATTTTATTGCACAGGGAACAAAAACAAAAACAGAAATGGGAAGTGAATGTGTATGTGTGCTGTATATGTGAACGTACAGGAGGAAAGGAACGGAGCACTTTGACCCCGTACTGAGCTGTAAGGGGGTGAGGAGGGTACAGGGAGGAGAAATAGGACAGTCCAGTTGGGGGATCGGCTGGGGCCCAGCACAGGATATGACTCAGCTCTGGAGAGTCAGCATCAATTGTATGCCATGTCACCAGGAACTGAAGAAAAACCAAAAAAAAGAGAGAAAAAGAAAATGGAAAAATGTCACAAATGATCAACTTCTAGCCAGTATTTACATCATCACTTATAGGATAGGATAGGTTCTGCTCTATGTGTAGCATGCATCACAGAATCCATATCTCTGCATCAAATATGACAGCAATCTGATGCAAGGTTATGACCCCAAGCCTGATGGTGTGCTAACTAGCCTCCAGAGGAAGCTGTGTTTATTAGTTACTAAAGTGACTGGAATAAACAACTATGAGATGTCAAGGAGGATCATCCGTTAAATGATGGTGGCCTTTGGGGAAAGCCGTGCTCTGCCTCCCCTGCTGACAGATACGAGGCTCATTAAAGCTCAGTTAGTATCAATAACACCAACATGGCCACTTGAAAGCCAAACACTGACAAAACATGGTGTTTCATAGAATTTTCTATTTTCAGGTGCTAGACCTCCACTACAAACCCATTGACAGTGAGACAACTTAAACCCACTTAGTGTAAGTGTGTCCTTGTCCCTGTGATTTTCAGAGTCTCTGCTCCAAATACTTCAGAATAAAAGCACCATGAATAAAACCAACACCACTGCCGTCCTGTTGGTTTGTAGTGGTAGGCGGATGACCTCACCTTGACTGCTTCTGGAACATCGCACACAGCAGCCGGATCCATTCGCACTAGGCGAGTCACCTCAGAGACAATAGCCTCTGTGTTTTTAAATCTGAAAAACAAATAAAAATACTGACTAGGGGCATGCCCAATGAAGGACTTAATCTGTTCAAACATTGCACTTGTCACGACATAAACTTCCATGTACTGTATGTGTGTATAACGTACATAGTCTATGGATAAAGATGGTGTTTGACACATGGTCACGTAAGTTTAAGTCCGGTAACTGAGCCATAGTCTGTGTACCATTTTTTTGTTGGTGAGTATATTATGCACAATAAGTAAAAGCGTAACATAATGCAATAAGCTGGTCTGTTGAGGATATTTTCATTCAGGTAGAAATCGTTTACACACATTAATGGTGTGAGATGGTGTCACAAGTGTGACTGAATTCATTTTAAAAAATCTTGCCAATAGAGGGCAACAATGTGCAGAAAGTTATAGATTTTGGCTTTTAAAAACTTCATAAAAAGGTGCATAATAGTATCCCAAACAAGATAGTCTTGTTTGGGATACTGTTATGCACCTTTTTTTTTTTAATTTTATAGATTAAACCTTTTACACCTTTAGGTTTAACATTGATTAAACTTGGAATGTGATGCATTTTGTTTCTCTGTGTACCTGGCAGGCAGCTGCAGGGCAAGGTAAGGTGCTATGCTCCAGGCCAGGTTGACGTTGTCCTTCCACTGTTTCTCCGTCAGACTGATGTATTTGGACCTCCAGTTAGCGATGCTGGTCTCCACCGACTGTTCAGTAGCAATAGCAAGCTCCTGAGTGGATAATGGGTTGTACCATATTGTCAGCCGCTCAATCTCGCTGGCCTAGAGAGTGACATACAGGGAATGGGACTCATTAAAATTGCGCAATAAGGTGTCGAGTATGGATGTAAAAATGCAATAAGTTGATGCAATTTAGATATTTGCGAATATAAATAGTGGTTCAGAAGACTTAAATACCAGTAAAGCTAGTAAAAGAGTCCGCCGTTTCATGTAGTACTTGTGCAGCTGAGAGCCTCTGTTGCTTTTTTTAGACAAGCCTGAAACAATACAGGAGCAATACATAAGTAATTATAAGTAAACATTATATTACTGAAGACAAGAAGCAAATGGAGGTTAAGTTTCACTGTGACCATCTTTTCAGCACATTGTGTGTTCACCGCCATAGCTCTTTGAAGTTTAACATCCGGTGTGTGTTTTACCTGATTTCTTGGATATGGTGGACATCCCGGAGGACAGAGGGTAGGTGTTGATCCAACCTTGAGCCACCTGCTGCCTCTGCCCCACAGCTGCATCTAGACTGCTCCGGCTATCTGTCACTGTCATCACAGACAGGCTGTTCACCGACATGTCTTGGGGATCTGCACGAAGAAAAATACCATTTATCTATCAGTTTTGAAATAAGCATGATTAGGGCTTCAAGCGAGTTATAGTTGGAAAATATGAATCATTACTTAACAAAGAAGCTCTCTAAGGGCATTTATTTAATTGTTTACTTGTATTGAGACAAGTATGTAGCATAAACAAATGCCACACCACATTAAAAGCCTAAGCTAATTTGCAATGCCTAGTCCTAGAAGGGCCTTTAAAATACTGCATTCAAAACTTTTGACTTTCTTCTCCAACAGAAACAAGAGAGGATATTTTGATCCACTCTTCATCTATAACCCGGAGCCTTGCACACAAACAAAAAAGCCCAGTTGGTATAATCACTACACTACTGTTGTGTCTATGGCAAATGTAAAAAAATCATTGTAATAAAACTCATGACGATATGTTGAAAATCTCTCAACATTTTCAGCTCCAGTTAATGAGTCATAGATTAAACACTGTCACACTGGTCTCTGCATTGGTTTGATTGTCAAAAAAGCAAAATGGATGGAAAGTCACCCAACAGAAACTTAAATTTTTTTAATTAAATTTAATCTTCATATAAATTGTGAATTGTCGTGCTGTGTGAAGTTGTTAATTCAGTTATTATTACTGAATTGTTTCCTCAGTACTGTACCTGGGGGAACCAGCTGGCTGGCAGCCAGATACTTCTTGTCAGACTGCAGGCTGGCATAGAACTTGATCATTATACTGATGTCTTCTCTCAGCCTCTTATCTGTCTGGGTGGGAAATTTGGGAGCGACACTACACAAAGACAGAGATGTCAATGAAGTTAGAGGACAGAGAGACAGCTTTAAATCACACAAAGGCAGAATTTTCTTTAATTTCAATAAAACAGATTTAAAAAAGGTTCTACCTGAAGTAGTCAAAAGCTGTGGAATAGATCTTCTCTCGAAGCACATTTCTAATGGTGGCATTTGTCACAACATCAGCATGCAGGAGGGTCAGACCCAGAGTCAGCAGTCTGAAATAAAACAAAGTGATAACATAATAGTCCTAACAAGTTTAGGATTCAGCATTCAACATTCGATTATTACAGCATTTAAGATTAAACCAATTTGTTGTTGAAATAGAGACACAATACCGGAATCTTGGTCCAATGGCAGCAACATGTCGGTTAAAACTGCTTTTGGGTCCTCCGACACTCAGAGACAGAGATCTCTGTAAAATGGCGGTGAAAATCTCCACCTGATCAGCACTGCTGTACTTGGCTATCTCAAACCTCTGCACCAGAAACTGGAGGGAGAACAGAAAGAATGAATAAAGAAGTGATAGTTTCCGACCCTTATAAAATAATTAGCTCAACTTAATTTTATGAAAGATACATCAAATACAAGGTGGATAATCTTTTTAATAAAATTTTCAGCCACAGAAAGTAATAAACCAAATCCAGGTACAATAGAAATTGTCTCCTAAACAACATCCAGCAAACACGATATTCAAAGATGGCCTGATGTACCAAAGTTAAATGTTATGTGATCTATGGATACCGAATTTTAAAACAACTTTAACAGTATACCAAATACAAAGCAGTAGTTTATGTCTGCATGTCACTGACCTCTATCCAGAGGAAGTGAGGGATGACATCTGGTGCACAGGGTGCAGGTTGACTCTCCTCTGAGACAGCCAGGGGGCCGGTCTCTACCTTAGCCTCAGAAAACAAACCCATCTTCAGCTCCACTGTCATCTGCCAGGCTCCTGCCATCTCACGCATGAACTAGGTAGGTGGAAAAAAAAAAGAGAGTAAGAATGAATCCTAATTCCTGGGCAAATCAATGCCAAAACCAATGATACACCATTCATTTATTAACATTATACTGATTATTTATTTATTCATATGGTTTTATGAAAGTGATAAAATATACATACCGGCACTTCCACCCCGTTGTGTGCAGCCAGGAGCCATTCCCAGCAGGCAATGGCAGTTTCCATGCCATGTTCTGTAAACATCTTCAGGGGAGACCAACACAGATGGTGCAGGAGTAAAGGATCGCAGTCTAAAAGACAACATATCGAAAATTACCACAATATGGGGAATTATAGCAACAACAAAAAAAAAAACAAAAAAAACAACTGCCACTTTTGCTGAAAGACATTAAACAGAAATGTATATGAGGGAGAGCTGCTCACTTTTTGTAGTTATAAGCAGGGCGGCCATCTTGAACATGGTCTGGGTGAAGGCCTCTGGGTCTTTTCTGTCCAGAGCACTGGTCATCTGATGGATCATCAGCTTGTTGAGGTCTGACTGGCTGTGAGTCGCCTCTGAGAACTGGATCATACCAGCCACCTATAGAGCACATAAACAGACAGATATGAATCATACCGTATGCAGAAAGTCCTGGAATTATTTAAATAATATTAACACTTCACCTCTCCTGTGTAGCGGTTGCGCAGGTTGAGCGATGCCATGAAGTTGGAGTAGTCCTTCTTCACACATGCTGGTCTCTCTGTCAGCTGGGTGATCTAATGAAAAGTACAGTTTATGGGGCCACTTAGGGCCACACAGTCGAATGCTAGGAAACTCGGACACGTAGCTGTACTGTAACATTTCTGGATATACTGAAGGTATCATGCCTGAGCCCTGTCTTTCAGTATTTAGTGTTCAGACCAACCTGAGGGAAAGCAGCCTATGGTTGGCCACATGGTAGAGGACAGCACCAGCATAACCAGTTAGCCAAATGGGCAACCAGCCAACCAACCCACCCGTCCATTGCAGGTAAGTAACCAGGTAACCAGCAAATCCGTAACCCAGCCAAGCAACCAGGTAGGCAGTTCGTTGCAGTTTAATAAAGACAAAATACAACAAATGAAGCAAATGAAAAGACAGATATAGCAGAAGGAAAGCCCAAGAACAAACAGGAAATGCATAGCAAGCAAAATTATGTCACACAGACAAGTAAGCATGCACACATGGACATATAGTATTGTAAACAAGCTCGACTCCCAGCCTTGACAGAGCTTTAGAATACATACCAATAAAATAAAACACATATTTGCACAAAGGATACAATACACTGCTGCTCTGTGTTAACAAAACTCCAAAGGCTTTGACAAAGCAACTAAATGGCACATTTGTTAACTTAAAAAGCCATTAATGTTGGACAAATGTTAATAAGCATCAAATTAACAAGCCTGTAAGGCCAATGGTAGGAAACAATTTTGGTTTTAAGGTTTGCAATGTGTTCAATGTATGATATCAAAGTGCTGCATCTTTCTTGGCTCAGGAAGTGACACACCATTCGTCACTTCCTTTAAAGCTCAATGCTCAGAAAATCTGTGACTGCCCCTACAAGCATCCATGGTAGGGCTGAAAAAGCAGATACTCTGGTGGAATTGTTGGGGTTTTTGATTAGCTCAGCCCGCCTTTATTCTGGGGAGAGGTTTAGTGTGCAAACATGCAGGGGTGCCCGCATGCATGTGTGACTCACGCCCAGTGTAGTACTCTGTCTGTTGTAGCCTGCAAAGTGCAGTATGCTCTCTGTGGCCATGGCCAGGCCAGTGTGCTGGGACAGTCCTGACACCCAGTTCTGATGCTTGTTCAAGTACTCCTGTACAAGACACAACACAGAGGTAAGATATAGGAAAAACAGAAAGGGTAATGGAACATCAATGACAAATATCCTCTCAAGACAAAATATACAATGAAAAAAAATTAACCAATTTTAGTAATTGGGGTCACAGATTACTAAGACCATCAATTACTTTTCTTAAGACTTAGTACACATACTTTTGTTTTTTCTTAATTAAAAGGAAGGAGTAGCTACAGTTAAATTGACCCTTTTAATCAAGAGTGTTGACCCTCTCTTCAGCTCCTAATTTCTTTTGATCTTTCTAATGTAAAAGTAGAAATCTCTACTGAAACATACATGAAAAGAAACTCACCTGTAGGTGGGACTTTGTGACTGAAGGGGCCCATTTCATTGCCTCTTTCAGGATCTCACCACAGCGAGCAGCAAAGTCCTTCACTATGCTCTACAAGGAGATATGGAAACAAGGATATGGTAATTTATGAAATACAAAAGGGCTTTTACACAGGTGACATACATGGTACATTTGTGACATATTGGTGACACTGAAATAGAAGAGATGCAAGATAAACATAGGCATACATGCTAATGTAAGGCCTTAGTTAGTTAAACAAATCATGAACATCATAAATAAACCCCAAAATAAAACCATCAACCAAGGATTATTCAGCTTACACACATTAAACAATAAAAAAATTATGAGCAGAATGAGCAAGAAAGAAGCCACTAGATTAGATTAAATATACTTTATACAAAGTGCTACGCACTACTAGTACTGTCTTCAAAACCAATACAATGAATGCTGTCCTCTAGTGGTCATAAATGTTATAACAGTCCAGACTCACCTCTCGGGCCTCATATGTGTCAGGAACAGTGATCCTGTAGGGGGTGTCTGGAATGTCGTAGTACGGCTGATCCTTGTGAATGTCCTAAATAAGCACACGAGACATTTGTTGCAACTGAAGCTTATAGTTACACATATCCTAACTCTGCTTTTGTTCCACCACGTAACACTTATTTTTTACTATTGATGTTAAAGCTGATGTAAAAGCCAGAAGAAATGTTCATTATAGTGATTAAAACCAACAACCTGGCATTGTGTTGTTCACACCAGCCCTCCACTGATACTTACAGCACTTAGTGACAGAGAGAGTGTCTGCAAGATGTCCAACATGGTCTTTAACACACGACCGCTCCAAAGCAGATGGGGGAATCTGGTAGAGGTAAAACACATGAGAAATAGGATTCGTGCTGTGTATAACTTGATGGGAACAAATGTAGGCAGACACGCATCTTGGATCATTAACACTCACGTCTCAGCCAAACCAGAGAGGTATTTATCCGCCACTCTGCGGATCCTCTTGTGTGTGTGGTTAAAGTTGATCAATAAGAATTGGGCATGTCGCTCCAGTTCTTCCTCGTGCTCTTTGGTTTTGGGCTAAAAACATAAGAAATATATTTTGATTGATAATCTCTGATACTGAAGAACAAAACATACAGTCAACCAAGACTTTTGAAAACATGCTACTTACCTTCTCAGCCATCATCTGGAGGAAGACATCAAACACTTTGTCGCCAACACAAATTATGCACTGCATCATGCCTGTGAAGGTAAAAAAAGGAATTTTAGAAAATGAATTACACAACCACAAGGAAAGGAATGGCCATAGCAGTATTAAGTGTAAAGCCCTCACCAGATTTGTCTTTCTGGATGGCTTTGTCTTCAAAATATCGAAACATGACCTGGAACCTGTCCGGATCATTGGATCGCAGCATCCTGAAAGAGTGCGAGAGAGATATTACAAAGTTTCATAAGCTGATCTCACTAGATACAAAATTAACAAGGTAAGTAAGGTAACAGAGCTGACCTCATGTATTCTAGTCTGTAGACTGAGAGCAGGTACGTGGACATGGCAAAGTCTAGCTTGTTAATCAGGGCAGATCCTTCAGGAGGTGGGTCGAGGAGATTGCTGATGGTTGCCCGCAGCTCGTTCAATTCGGCCTGGGTGACATACATTTAAAATGTTTTTATTTAAAAGATTAATTCTGGTGTTTTTGTTTTCAAAAGTATTTTAACTACCTCACTACAATATAAAAGTTTAGATTTTGCACACTGTACCGGCGTGACTGTATCATTTTTCAGGGCAGAGTTGTATTGCAGTTCGGAGCGAAGAGGTTCTCCACTGGGAAAGGTAAGAAGAGGAGACTTGGTGGCAATCTCACACACACCTTCATACCACTCTTCTGGCCAAAGCCCTGAAAGGACAAAATATATATCCACACCGATAAAGGTACATTCACCATTCTTGTAACTATTTGTTATAGCCAGGGCAAACAAGTCTGAGAAAATAGTATTATAATACATATAAAGGCAGTGATGATGATTTTACACCTCAATTAAAAAACAACATTGAACAGGGGGCATTTTGTGACAGGGAAAGCTATTGGCAACTTAAACAAAATCAGGGATTGTACTTTTAAATATCAGCTCCCACTCATTTTATGTGATATAGTGCAGAAGTGCAGAACTTTCTACTAAACATAGCATACTGAGATCAGATCATCCCTCACTTACCTGATCCTTCCACAGCAAAACCCATGACCACTGAGTACAGCCAGAAGTCCCTGAACAGTTTCTGGAGACGGGGCTTGGCCTCTTTGATTGGCGGGAGCCGCCTGGTCAACTGCAAGTTAGGAAAAATAGACAAAAAAAGGGTAAAAAATGCAGAGCAATTAATGTTGCATTACTCAAATGATCATATTCTGTTAAAAGTGATTCTAAAGGAATAGCAAAATGCTAATTCCTATAGATAAAAATAGCATAATCTTTTTAGCTGTGCTGAACACTGAATAAAATAAAGGCATACAGTCCAAAGAATATGAACGAACAACAACGAAATATGTCAGACCATTACCCATTTAATAGTTCATTAATATTGAATATTCTTAATAGATAAGCTGAATTGTGAAGAGTTAAAGATTTTAGTCAGTCACAGCACTTTTTGGTCTGTTTGATCTGGTCTATTTGTTCAGCAGGAGCCCACATCAAAGTTCAGTTTTGTATTCAATTCTTTTCTCTTAGTCGCACAAACAGGAGCAACACAGCACTTCCCGCCAGCACACAGTAAAGGTAAGACATTTTACAGACTAAGACTGCTATTAAGGGAATTTTTACACAAAATCTTTTGTATTTTTAGCTAGTGAAGACATGATTTTATTCCTACTGATATATTAAAACTTAATTTAATCATCTTTACTAAATGTTTATAAGACTATTAATTAGGCCATACTAAAAGTCCGTTCCCTCTGCCTCTGCCTTTAGGATGTGGGTCATCACTGTCATATCTGTGGCCTGTCTGCTCGTCAGTCCATCCCTGGCTGGGATCAAAGACCTCAGCTCTCACTTCAATGACCCTAAACCAGACCCCAGAGGTTCTGAAGGGGGAACAGTGGATTTAGAGGCTATCCCCTTGGAGTTCCACAAAGAAAACACTGTCACTAATGACCTAGTTTTTGATGGCTTTGACGATGAAGATTATATTGATTTTGATAAGATCCTGGCTGCGGGCAGTGACGACTACATGTGAGTATTAACGGTTGGTACTTCTGGTGGATCATAGCAAAAATACAATGTTGTGAAAAGAAATTGAGGTGTAAAGTGATGTGACATAAAGTAAAAGAAATGACTTTCATATGGTAGGGCTAACAGAGGCAACTCTTAACTTGGTGCCAACTTACTTACCAGGTTTTATACTTTGTGAGATTTTCCCTTTTCATTGCTGAGAATCTTTCTATGTATACAAGTGTATACAAACACTGTTTTAAAAAGCAGCTACTGTATAATGCAGTGTTCTTTTGGGAGTGATTCTACTTTTGAATGGCCAGATGATGAGTTTTTGATTTTTTTCCAGTGAAGGGGATGAGATAGATGAGATTGCCACACCAGCTCCAGACATTGACATCTTTGCCGAACCATCCGACCCAAAGATTCGCCGTGCCAGACTCCTGCGCCTGTTCCACAGTCGGTCTCGCCTCCAACGCCTTAACATTGTTAATGCCCATTTCGGCTTTAACCTCTATCGAAGTCTTCGCAACGATGTCAACCAGAGTGACAACATCCTGCTAGCACCTGCTGGGATCTCCATCGCTATGGGGATGATGTCTCTAGGGGCAGGACCTGGAACACACGATCAGATCTACAAAGCTCTGGGATTCGCCGAGTTTGTCAATGCTAGCCATCACTATGACAACACAACAGTGCACAAGCTCTTCAGGAAGCTGACGCACAGGCTCTTCAGGAGGAACTTTGGTTACACACTACGCTCTGTAAACGATGTCTATGTGAAAAAGGATGTCCCAGTGAACGATGCTTTCCGTGCAGAGACCAAGGCTTTTTATTTTGCAGAGCCGCAGTCAGTGGATTTCAGGGACCCTGCCTTTCTGGACAAGGCCAACCGTCGCATCCAAAAGCTGACCAAAGGGCTAATCAGGGAGCCGCTCAAGAGTGTGGATCCAAATATGGTGCTAATGCTGCTCAACTACCTGTACTTCAAAGGTAAGCAAAAACAGGGACACACTGTCCTCCACCTACGTTATAATGGTTTTACATGTTTTGTTTTTTGGATCGCAAAGTAAACATATGACTCTTCGACCTTATTCGTTTGTACAAACAGGTACATGGGAACAGAAATTCCCCAAAGAAATGACTCACTATCGCAACTTCCGAGTTAACGAAAAGACAAATGTACGCGTTCCAATGATGACCAACAAGGGGAACTATCTCGCTGCTGCCGACCACGAACTAGACTGTGACATCCTACAGGTGGGTGGTCGCACACTGATTTGAAATTTTAACTTTCTGACAATTTCCTGTCAAACAGAAGCCAACCAAGCTGCATAACAATGTTGTAAACTTTTATATTTTCAGCTCCCATACACAGGAAACATCAGTATGCTCATTGCCTTGCCTAGGAAGATCACTGGCATGAGGACCTTGGAGCAGGAGCTCTCTCCCACTGTTGTCAACAAGTGGCTCAAAAACATGACAAACAGGTCAGCAGCACTCTCCAAACAAACTAATGAATAGCTGAGAAAGCACATTGTAAATAACAAAATGCTATAAGCTTTTTCAATGGTTTAAAATGCTGAAAATGTTTAGACCTCGTGGAGATTTAAAAGTTATACCATGAACAAAAGTTTTCTATGCCTCCCTTCAGGACTCGAGAGGTGGTGTTACCTCGATTTAAACTAGAGCAGAACTATGACTTGATTGAAAATCTGAAGGAGATGGGCCTCACTGACTTGTTCCAGCAGAGTGGAGATTTCTCTGGAATGACTTCTGAAAAGGTTTCCATGAACTGGGTGAGTAAGACTAAATCAGTCATGATTTTACCAAACTGATACTAAAGGCAAGCATCAAAAGAAAATAAGGGTTTGTTGGTTATTAAGTCATTTAGACATGTTATCGACTGCAATCAATAATCATTACAAACTATTTCAAAATAATGGAAGCCTTCTGATCTCCCTCCCCAGCTGAAGCACCAGGGAACCATCACTGTGAATGAAGAGGGTACAGAGGCTGCTGCTCTGACCCAGGTGGGCTTCATGCCCCTCTCCTCTCAGATCCGCTTCACTGTGGACCACCCCTTCCTCTTCCTGATCTACGAGCACCGCACAGACTGCCTTGTGTTCATGGGCAGGGTGGTCAATCCTTCACAGAGCTAAAATTTACCAAAAAGCCCTTCGAAACAGCTAAACTATTCCCTACAAATTCCATGTTTGGTTAGAACTTTCAACTGAAACATTCCTGATTTTGATAGCTGGGGTGTTGTTACTTCTATTAGTACATTATGTACATGTAACATCAAGTAATGAGCCTGTATGTGTATGTAGTCTCTTACTGAACAATTAAACTTCGTATTTGTTAAAGGGCTGTGAGTCTGTCTGAGTGACTCAAAGGAGGCTTGTTAGCTGTCTGTTAATGTTTTATCTTATGCAATGGAGCTAGTGGAGAAATGTGCTCAAAACATGACATTAATAAACCTCATTACCTAATGTCATATTGTAATAATTGCAGAAAGACTATGGAAACACAGATAACACAAGAAAGGGGGATAATAAAATAATATATAGTAATAAATAGTATTAAGAATTTCTGTGAAAAAAGGTTAAAATTGTTTAAATGTTTTTTTCTTTGATGAAAATAAGGATATATCATTTTAATAATATTTATTATGCATAAGATAGATAGATAAGTTATTACTGCTTTGTACAAATATTTAAAATTATTATCTCAATGCAATGACAAAAATACTACCAACTGTTACAAGTTGACAGTAAATAATTAGTAATAATTATTAATAATAAATCCATAAAATATGTTCAAAGAAAACTAAACTGTATGATTTCAAGAACATTCAGCAGTGAACTGGTGACACCGATGTTTGTACTGCAGCTAACAGGGTAAATATTTGTTGACAGAGTTAAATGCTAACTAACCACCTGGATTCATCTGAAACACTCGAATACTCATGTAGATCATTTAACTGTGGTAGTATTTTAACACAAATTATTTTCTTAAATGAGTGGGAAAAGTCTCTAAAGGGGCAGCAGTTTGTGCAGACTTCACATACTCACCACAGCAATCACTGGAATGAGGACTCCAAGATTTCCAGCACTACTTGATGCCTACATGAGATAAAGAGCCATTAACAATTTATCAACATTGCTGTTACCAATTTCCTGTTGTGTTGTTCATGCATTTAGGCACATACCTTCAGTGCTGGTCCCTTGTCTGAGGCTCTTTCACTGGCTCTCTTTCCTTCCAGGCCCAGTTGGACAAACAGTTCTAAAAGGTTCACCATCAGTTCGTCAACAAGTTGCTCCCCCTGCAGGTTGGCTGCAATGTTGGCCAGAGCATTTATCACTGCCAGAGAGCAGTGTCTGGGGGAGGGGGCAGCATAGATGGAGGCCATTGTTAAACACAGTTATAATCAATGTAGACAAATGTACACAATACCAACAAGATGTAGCAGTAAGCAAAGCGCATAAATTATTACCGTTCTCCAGACTAAATTTACTGCACTTACTTACTTACTTTAACAGTCGTCTGGTGCAACTGGTAACTGTGTGAACAGGGTAAGAGCAGATGCTGACCTGTAGCCGTGATCTCTGTAGTCTTTGGTAGCTGAGTAGACAACTGAACTGGCCTTCACACTGATCTGCTGGAACAGGTTCCACACCTCCTGATATATGTATAGCTAGAAGACAGGCAGGCAGACAGACAGGAGTGAGACTGCCGAGGCACAAATAGGTTGAACTCAAGATAAATGTTTTTTTCAATCTTCTTCTCACTTACTAATCATAAAAATTTACAATTTACTCAAAATCAAAAATTCTATTATCAAGGATAACATGAGCAGTTGTGTAAGATCTGTATCAGGACAGAGGGAGGCATTTTGTAAGAGCTGTATAACATCAGATCCTTTTTCAGTCCTTTGTTAATTGTAGTCTATCACACTCTGGGTACACTGACTGTCAAAGACAGGCCATTACGCTCCAGTTGGGTGTGAATCAGAATACTGGAAGCTATTCTTTATGCACACAATACTGAGCATAAACAGCAGCCAGCAGGTGTCCAGTAATTACAACGTGTCAGCCCCTCTGGGTTAAGAAAGCGGGTTACATCGCTTCTATTTAAGCAACAGTAATAACTGCAGTCTTATATAACACTGTTACAGTGAAATAAATCTACATACCCTCTTCAACTATACCAGTGCTTTTGAATGACCCCCTGGTGGTTATGTACTGACCTAATATCCCTTTCAACCATAAATCTATCAAACAATGGGGGCAAAACACTCTACAAGTGTATTATCATTGTATCTTTGAACTCACATTTCCTGTAATGACCATGCAGCCAAGCTGGTCAATGATGAGTACATCCAGCTGTGATGGAGGCTGGCAGAACTTTTGCTGAAGGATTTGTAGGATGTGCTCCATGACTTTAGGAGTGTCTCTCAAAGCCACTGCAATGTGGCCCAGTGCTCGAATGGTGTGATCTGGGATAAGATGGGCATCCCTGGCAGAAAGACAAATTTTATTTTTGGACTAGCTATTCATCATTGTCAAGGGCGTGAAAAGAAAAATGCTTTTTTTTAACCAGAATTGTTGCTCACTTGTCATTCTCCTGTGAAATGTATAGACGGTTGGACAGACTGGCCAGAAAGGCCTCCACTATCACATGGTCCATGGTCAGACCAGCTTTCAGACATCTGAGAGATACACACAAAGATAAACAATGAGAGATCAAAAAGGACTTATTTTCTAACCACAGCTGTGCCAGGTGTGTGTTTCCTACCTGCATATGTTGTCAATGGAAATGTCTCTGAGCTGCTCGTACATGGACGGCTGGTCTTTCCTGTTTGACAGGAGGTTGAAGGTAGGCTGAGAATGCTCATTGGTCACATTTATCCTAATTTCTCCTGTGCCTTAAAAAAAAGAGTAATAAGAACACAAAGACAGAAACATTAACATCAAAGAAAACAAGCAGTTTTAACTCTAATGTAATTTAAACCTTGCAGAAAATAAAAATGCTTAAAAAGCAGTACACTGTGGAGGACAACATAGAAAAATCGGTAACTTGAATTACATTTCCAATTGTCTGTATTTGTAGCAGCTCATCAATGAACACTGTGTTCAGATCAATAGTGTATGAGAGCAGAGACAATAACAGTGTTATTGATGTATATATGTCACTGTATCATCAGCCACAGCTGATGATACAGGTTCCTTGTGGACATATCGTTGATAACTTTTCATTTTTAAGAAAAATGTTATGTTTTGGTGGTGAAATATCAATTTTGATTGGTTAAATATTACATTTCAACACTTTTTTCACTCTTCTTTTAATCAAGAGTTACAAGTATAGCTCAATTGAATTATAGGAACTGGCACTGCCATCAATCAGGGTCCAGAATTGTCTTCAGATCAAAAACCCTATTTACTTGCAATATATATAAAAGTATATACAAGGTATATTTTAGAACAAAATCATGCTGATTGCATGTGTGCTTTATGTACTACTGTGTTTAACTTTGCTTTATGTGTCGTGTCTTGTTCGTCTTGTTTCGTTGTGTTTTGAGAATCCGTATATGTTTTAATTGGGACTTGCCAAGGGACTGCAGATAGAAATAAGCTTTAACTCTGGTACAACACACCAAATGGGAACATTTATGTTTAATATTGTACCTAACGAATAAAACTAATAAAATGCATTTTAAAAAATCTGTACCTGTGCTGTACTGGCTGTGATACTTGTAGAGTTTTATTAAAACAGGGGAAGGAACCACCAGGAAATCCCTGAGAGAGGTTGTGGCAGAGTGAGCAACTACCGGAAACCTCTCACACAGACGACCCAGGCCCTGAAACACAGGGAGAGACAATCAAAGAAAATTAAATATTAATACCAAATAAATAATTAATGACATTCAACACAGGTCTGGGTCAGCTTCAAAAACTTCGCCCACTGCCGCAGCCCACTGAATCACCAGGATACCTGATATTCACTTGTAGTTAAGTAATTTTCTAGAGAAAATCCCATGACCTAGTCCTAGTGTAACATTTCACTTCTACTTGAGCACATATCTGGCGCTCTTTCTTTCTTGTAGTATTATACCTGTAAGCAACAGATGAGCAGGGGCATGTGAGCGATGATGACTTTACTTGAAGTTTTTGACTGCAGCTTCTCTGACAGTTTGGTGCACAAATTCTCAGCTCCTGAAAAAAGACACCATGAAGGGAAAGTGATAAACACACTCAGTACCCTTCTGATTATGACATCTGAACGCACTGCTCTGCTCACGCTCTGCTGCAATTGATTACCTTGCTCATCTTTGACGGCCCACACCATGAGGTCAACGCAGGCAGCGTTGGCTTGACAACGAAGCTTGAGGGGGCTCTGTTCCCCCGGCAACCCCCCTGTATCATGAAGTACCCGCTGCAGCTCCGACTGACTGCTGCTAAACTGCTCCAGTACAAAGTCGTGCACCTCCCGTACAAATGCCGGCTGCAAAGCTAAGAAGCATGAAGAAAGAATGAAAATTTGACAAAGTAGTATATTTAATAGACAACAATCATTTCAAGACTGCATGGCTTTGATGCATAATAAATACGCTATTTATAATCCTTTACCTTTCATGTAGTATAGTGTGTCCCGCAGCATTTTGAACACACACACGTAGAGAGGGTCACTGAAGGTTTTGTAACAGAGGTTGATTCCAGGATTAGACTTAATAACAAAACAGAAGAGACAATGACAGGAAAGATTATTTAACTGATAATAGCATATATTTAACTTTTACCATTTACAATTTTTGTACAGAAAGTGGTTACATAGTTACCTCCGTAACTTCCGTCATAGTGGCGTCCAGATTTTTCAAAAAAGCATCAGAAACAAACTTCTTCACCTGTAATTCGACAATATGAACACTGGTAAAAATGCATTTAGGGTTGCTGCAGTATATCAATACCACTGTATACTGTGGCATGACCATTATCATCCCCGATACATTTGCTTATTTACAGTATTGAATTCTACTGTATTATGTGACTAGTACATTGTGAAATATAATAAAGTCTTCAACCAAAAAAACTAACTCTTCTGTTTTCATTCCGTTAATGGTCACTGTAACTGACGATAACAAACAATTGTGTAGTACCGTATACTGTGAAACTATCTGAGATGGTTATCATATCGTGAGAATCTTTTACAGTTGCCACCCTAGATTCAGTAGCTATAAAGGATGGCAGATCACAGAGGTTATCTTGGTAAAAACAAGTAGTTGCTACTGTACCATGCCAAGGAGCTGTCGGAGCAGATCAACAGGCACCTCCACCTCGTTTTCTCCTACTCCCAAGAAGAGAGGAGACACTGAGAAACTGGAGCTGACTGTAGAGAAATAGTGATCAGGATCGACCGTGCTGCTGTCTGGGAGGTAGGCACCTGAAATGAAGGACACCACAGAGAGTAAAAAAAACATGGGACAAGTTCGGGGTGCTTGTTACTGAACAATACTTTAGTCTACTGGGATTACTGTTAATAGTTAAAATAATGTTTCTATAATGGATTTCTTCTTGTATGACTGTTGATCATAAGTGCAGAATATTGACTCAAGTACAAAAGAACTCCACCTGACTGACATCCGAACACTGATAATAACAGTTAAAGTTTAGGAGAGCTAAGATGTGTTTTGATATCAAAGTCAACAGAAGCTGAGCTGGAAATATCTCAATTTGATGTCACATAAATCTTAGTTTGGCCATTAACAACAATCTGACTAACCCTTTTAACGTGATTCGAAAACCAATATAAGCAGCAGGGAAATGGATGGATGGACTGACACTAAAAGCACTGTTGGCATGAGACTGAGGATAGCAGGGATCTCATGCATGGTAAGTTTACTGTACAGTAATGATAACAAGGTATAACAGTTTATGATATAGGTAAGCTATGATATAGATAGAATGGACTACACTGTTTATTCTGATAGAAAAAATATTTGAATTGTCATGTCGCATAAAGCACAAACAGACTAATCGCTCCCTTTATGATAATAAAACTGTGCCAATCCAAACTGCAGAGAGAGGTGACTTCCTTTACTGTATTATGAGAATGTGTGTGATGGATGATAATGACAGGCTCAGGATGAGCTGACAGATGACAGAATCCAGGTTTACATTGACAAACACAAATTTAATCAAAGCAGCTTGTGTTTCTTGAGTTTACCTTCAAAGTAATGTGGGCCAGGGGTTGTCGGAGAGCAAGGTGAGTGGCCTCCTGAATCCGTACAGACCTATGAGACAGCACGTTACAGAAACTTTCTTTAACCAATAACACACATAATGACTCTCTCTCTCTCTTTCTCTCTCTGACTTTTTGGTGAGGTATAATCACAAAGTATGTGAGAATATTATAACTCTGCAGTCACCTCTAATTGTCCTTAATCAAACAACCTACACATACCTGTGCAGAGGGATCCAGGTTGGTCCCAGTGCTTCTGCGCAGTGTGTCACTCTGGCACACTGTAAGCAGTGAGGATGGCAGGATAGAACGAAAGTCATTGAAGGACCTGCGCCGCACTCCCTCTGTTTCCTCTGTGACGCAGCGGGCCTGCGGCGAGTCTTTGGGGAACAACTTGGACAACAGAGCTTCATCTGTGTTGCTGTAGCGGCCAAATGCTCGAGTCATGCCAAGCAGGCTGGGGACAATATACCTGCACAGGTAGACTAGAGGCAAGAGAGCATCTGTGAAGCTTTTTGAATGACTGTTGTTATGCAATTTGTTACCTTTGTGTGTGTGTGTGTGTGTGTGTGTGTGTGTATACCTTTGTCATGATTATCAGGTGTTTGACACATATCCTGCAATGCCTGCATGACCTCCATTATAGTGTTCAAGATCTGTAGGGGAAACAGTAGAAACAATAACTTAATATTTAACTGCAATGCACCGTAACCTAAGAATTATACATTATGAGCACTTTTTAGGCTGACCTCTTTTCGGGAATCTTGGTCCCTCTGAGACACATCTGCCAAAAGAGTCACTAGACAGAAGCTGAAGTTTTCTGCAACCGGGAGAAATTCTGAAGAGCAGAAAATGACAAAAACACCAATAACTTTTGTTTTTTGTACAGCAAGAAAAATAAGTGCATCAAAAAAATCTCATTGCATTTTATGGATATCAATACTATCTCAAATAATGTTGACAAACACTACTTAGTGCACTGCTACAGCAAGTAAATAGAGGCCATTGTAAAACAAAAGGCCACGCTATAAGAGGATTGTTCTTACCCTTTCCTTTCTTTCCTGAACTCTCTTCGATCCATTGGACCCGTGGTAGCCCTCTCAATAGGCTCAGCAAGTAGGAAACAAGTACGTCTTTGTGCTGCCAGAGAAAAGCAAATCTTTACACCCCACAAACAACTGCACTTGTTGGCACAGAACAACACGTTTGTTTGCCTAACAAGCACTGATGAATCAAAAATATGACGTATTGTTAATTCTGAAACAATCCAATCTGGGTCAAAGAAAATATATCAGATATTACTTTAACACTAAAAAGTAAAGCTACCGTCTCTATTTAATCAGATGGCTGGTAAGCTTTCCGCACTGTGTCTCAGTGTGATGAGGTTAGAGGCTTACACTGCCAGCTGTATGTCTAATCGCCAGTTTAATCAGATTATGAGGATAAGCTTATCATGGCGATATGTGTGGAGTCCTGTGGCAGACTGGTAGCAAAAGCAGACTAATAGTATTAATATAATAATACTAATAATTTCTGAATATAGCACGTTACTGCATCCCTATGTAATAGACTCTGTAAATTGTGTAATGTTTGGATCTTACATCCACCGTATTATCTATTAACTGCCAGGATAGCCAAAAGATCTTATATTTAAAGTGACGATGAAATGCACCCACTGTGTTAAAAAGGTGCTCACCACCCACCTGTAAGCCGGACTCCACCAGAAACACAGCCAGCGCAATAACAGCATCTCTGCGACGCACATCCAGAGTGAACACACCACGGACTTCCACTGGACACATACATTGTAGCTTCTGGACCTGAAAGAGAAATAAAAAGAGCTGTCTGTATGTAGTTACAGCATTAAAGGCCTGGTGTTGCAGCGTTGTTGCCTGTTTAGTGAGTGATTGCATGTTCCAGTATTGATGAGTTTGGTTTTTGTTAGTTATACCAGGAATATTAGGGAACTACAAACTTCACACACATTACATTTATGAAAACTGGTCTAAGGTTAGATACTGTATAAACCTTTCTAACTATTTTGTTGTTACTTGTACATTTTCTACTTCTACTTTTCTGTTTTTTGTACCTACCTCATCTGTCTTTGCCTCTTTCTGTCTCTCCCTAATAAAGATCAAAAATGTTTACTGTATGTTATACTATCAAGGTGGGAACCATAAGCTATTATGTTGCTTTACATGTTGTATCATGATATATATATTTATGATATTATAGTGCAAGACACAAGAGCTTAAAACTGGTCAATGCAACAACAAAAAAAGAAACCCCACTGAAACTGGACATTACATAACAAACATGCTCTATATAATATCAACACTCAGTGCAGTGTGTTGATTATTGCCTCAATATGCCCCCGTACATTTTATTTGATTAAAAAAAAAAAAAAATATTACTTTACCCTTCTTAGCTTTTTCTTAACTCATTTATCTCCTTTTATTGGCCAAAACAACCGTTTAAATTACACCTGATTATCTTTGCAACCAGTTAGTAACTGTATATAATGAGAACAAAAACCTGTTTGACTGCAGTGCTCATGGAGCCTGACTACTCTTCCGATGTGATGCGGTAACAGACGCCGCACAAGCAGCTACGCCACTTTTCTCCTGCATTGCTCTCTTCCACTGTTGCAGAGAAAACAATGTCGAGAAGAGCCAGCTCCAGTGATTCATAACTACAGACGCGCACACACCACGCAAATGTTAGCCTGGCTGTCAAGTCAGTGATCAAAATAAGCTACCGACTGTGCGGAAACGGAGCTACACCCTGAACAAACCCTGTTGCTTTGCGTTACTAACGAAGCTTCATTAATACAAATGTGTCTTGTCTCACTCGGTTCTGCTCCTTGCTCACCTTTTCCACCGGTGCGGGGCGGTGGGCAGCTAAAGAGCGGGCCAGAGACAGGACCGTGTTGAAATAAAACCCTCTCGTACCACCTCCCATTACAGACATGTTTACCTCCACATCAAACGAGCTCAACTCAGAGAGGAAACAAGCACGCAGAGGCAGCCGGCGCTGGCAAAGCCGCAGTACGGCGACTCGGCAGGGACAATCCTAACTAGGACCCGCAGTTACATTAGTAGCATTGTATTTAAGCAGACAAATGTTATTTTAACAAGAGTGGCGGGTAAAACAAAACTATCTGTCGCCTGTTGTCACATTTAAGAGCTTGTCTTTAACAAACTACTTCCCTATCACCAGATGCGTTTTTGTTGCGCACGATTAACCGTCACGACGCAGCAACGTCACCCGACGTGACCGGAAGCGTCGTGCTGCTAACGGTCAGCTGACAGAGCAACAACAACAACGTCTACTAACGGTCAAAGGTTTGTCCGTTACATTGATTGATCTTTACAGTTAATTTTATAAAGCGTCTATTATACGAGAAGACAATGTGAATACTGGCTGAGCGCCGTCTTGTCCTCTGGTTTGCTTGTTGTTAATGACCCAGCTGTTGCTAGCCAACACCCTTTAGCTAACTAGCTTTAACAGTTAATTATATAACGTTAGTTACATCGCAATAAGGCACTTTACTTTGTGTTAATGTTTTACCAGATGATTAAAGGGAAACATTTTGACCGACTCTGTCCATTGTTTTTACTGTGTGGAGGTTGTAGGTAACTCGATGAAGCTAACAATCTAAAGCTAGGGTCAATGCATTTCTCTTCAGGTTAGCGTACCAATAGTCAAATCATTTCTATTGATCACTTCATTCTTAAAGTAGCTTATTGTAGGGATACAACAAAGCATTGTGTTCATAAGGTATTCTGTATCCATCAATCGAGTAGTAACCAGAAAGTGTGTGAAATGTGAAAAGCTGATAAATGCAAGTCACCAGTAGAATATAATGTGGGACAATATCTAACCTGACTCTTTTTTCATTTGTAATTATATGAAACAAAGAAAGGTAATTCTGTGTTTCTGCTCCACAGATGGCCTACCCTAAATCCCACAACCCGTTTGCAGATGATGATGAGGAGGAAGATTTTAAGCCTAAAAGTAGGGGGTTTGATGACGACGATGACGGGTTTGACAGTGGGATGAGTGAAGCGGAGAGGAGGCAGAGGTACCTCCAGCAGGAAGTGATGCGTACAGCTCAGTCTGCTGTGGACAGCAGTCACCGATCCCTCGGCCTCATCTATGAATCCGAGAAGATGGGTGTGGAAACTGCAGAGGTATGTCAAACTAATCAGCTTTACCTTCTTACCTTCAGCATCTCCTCTCACAGACTCTATCTATCTATCTATCTATCTATCTATCTATCTATCTATCTATCTCTTTCTGTCTTTTCCCCACCCCGCATTGCCAGCTCCAGCCCCAGCCCCCAGCCCCAGTTGAACTCTTTCTAGCCCTGCAAGCCCCAGCCCCGCCCCTTGTCTCTGCTCCCTGGGACCCATCACCGGGAGCGCCCTAGCCTCTCTTCTCAAAGCCCGACCTCCCACCCTGAGAGCAAGATAGTGGAATCATAGGTGAGAGTTTCTGCAGTGTATCTGTGGAAATGCTGGCCAGGTTTTTCACAATTGTCACATCCACAGACAATATACCAAGTTAACCACGTCTGATTGGTTTTTACACTATGAAGTATACATGTCCAACTCTACAACCCAATGTCTCTATGCTCCTACAATCACTATGCAATAAAAAAGTGAGCTAAAAAAACCACCAACGGCCTATTTAAACTCATTGTGAACACTTACCTTGTTCGGAAATCCCAAAATATAACTGATGTCACTAGATCAGCACAACACTCTTAAATTGGATACCTTAAATTGCAAAGTAAATAACCCTTGTTATCGCTTTCTATATCGTTCCTATTTGTTTATTCTCTAAATACAAAAAAGATTCCATTTAATAAGTCGTAGAAAAGAGTGGGTGCTTACGCATAATGTACCGACCCCACAAGTATCTTCCTTAACTGGCCATACCATCTACCACCTTCACAACTGTTAGGACCAACTGGTAACACACGCGGCACACGTGCGTCAACCTCGCACTCCATCTTCATGTACAAGATGCTAGGACTTGCCATCTGAAGCGAACTAGGTCCGGTTGCGTTACACTAATGAGAGTTCTTGACCTTGCTCCATAAATAAGAACAACTTTATATTTATCATACCCCTAAAATAGAAGCTAGTATATATTATATGTTATAAGAAGAGTAGATATGTACATAAAGTGCAAAGCTGGTCAAGACGATTCGAATGTGAGCCATATGCCCCAGTAACTCGTCCAGAGATGCCAGTGCCAATAGGTCGATTTACTTAAAAGTAAAGTTGGCCATCTTTTGGAAGAATTAGATGGATTATATTTGTGTGTTATAGTCAGTTGCTAGGAGCGGGCAGAGCGCTCTTATTTATTTACGCACAAAGACCTGCGGACACAAAGGCAGGGGGGGTGTGGACAGAATAACCTGGCCTCCAAGTGTAAGAGGAAAGTCAAGGTCAAGGCCAAACCATCCCACTTTCAGTTGTGACTAGAAATGGTGAAAAGACTTGTGAATGTGACCAAGTATCTCTATCAAACAGCACAATTACGCCAAAACCTCAAAAGACCAAAGAGGGAAATATCCTAAATGTATTAACAGTCTAACTTAAGTCACACAAATCACCTATAAATATTGTTTCTATCTTGATTTCTTTCTGCAAGGATTATATTTACTTTACAAAATATTATAAAAATACTAAGATTGATGTAAGAAAATTATTAAATCTATAGTCAAGTCACAAAACAGACAAACATTTCAGTATCTGACTGCAACTCTCTGGTACATGGAAATTCAGTGAAGCTATTATGTGCCTGT